TCATCAAGAAGGACCTCACTGAAGTGAAAGCCACGGCAGAAGATGCAGTGGATCGGAACGCTTGGCGACGTCTAACAAGAACAGCGGACCCTGTGACGGCCCAGGACTAACGCTAAGGAGATGATGAAGAAGAAGTTGTATTTTTTGAGTCTCTATTGCATCGTTTTTGTTTTAGGCTTGCTTCTTCTCCTTTTATTCTCTTCTGTTCTGACTAATGTGGTTCCACTGCTAGCCTGCTATGGATTTCCCTTTTGGATAGCCCCTAAATATAAGGGGAGACGCGTACGAACACCCCTTATTAGAAGGGGATGGGGTCGTCCCAACCCCGTGCTTTCCGCGACGTAATGCTTGAGCGTGACTCTATCCTACCAACAATCCCAGAGCTGCGGAAAGTCTCCCTAGATCAGTGATCATGACACGATCCCGCAAGGACATCCCAACAGGGATGGTTTTCGCCGTTTATCAACCCATTTTGGGATGCGGCTCGCATTCCATATCCATTCGGGATCGTGTTTTATTGAGTGCGACGTGCCCTATATAATGACTTGGGGGGGGGCAGCTAAAGTGCAAGTCAGTATTCTCATTCTCGAATCTGGTACCAATTAACCGTTTCCAGGGCAAAAGGCTTGGTTGGTCTGGGGGGGGGTCGACTTGAAGTTTGAGTATATTCCACTGAAATATGTATACCACGAAAGCGGTTCTTACGCCATGCTCAAACAGAGTACGCAGCCACGCCCCTTCCACCTTCGGGATATGGTGTGTGACCCTGAAGCGCTCTTGAACGCATCTACCAAATAGAAGCCGTGACGCTTTCTAGAGATACACTCGAAATCCCTGAGATGAGGTAGGCGTGGCTGCGTACTTCAACTAAACGTCGTGGTGGCTATGCTTTGGAGAGATATTTTCATTTTGACCCAAATGTGGTCACGTCTCTGTCCAACAAAGAACAAGATGGCGGTTGTCTCAAATTGAAATATCCCACGAGTAACCAGTTCTGTGCCATGTTCGAATGCCACGCCTACCTCAGGGATAAGGAGTAATATCTGCTGACTGCTCCTCTAATCCTCTCTTGCACACTAATACGACAGATTTCCGACCAGCTAGAAGTCCGTGAAAATCACGATTAATTGAATGCGTAAAAAGAGAGAGCCTGTAACTATATTTATTATGTTTACCTACAAGGGTCCCAGCCAATGGGGACCGACAGGTGAATAATTTTCTCAGAGAGTTTTTCCTATGCATGTTTTTGTTTATTCCCTTGCTCGCCGGCGACGTGCCGATCCCGTGAGTGGTCTCTGAACAGCGGCCGCTGCAGACAACCATCAATAGACGTGCAATCTCGTGGTGGGGCGTAAACACCGAGGCTATTTAAAGGGAAGCTGACTGCGCTCTATTCATGCAATCTGCAAGCTCCCTTAGACGTTCGTTACCTCTCCATCCTCTCTAGGTTTAGGAAAACTTCCTTAGGGCATATGTATTTTGTATGACACTTCATGTCTTCTTTATGAATAGTTCATTCTAAATAATCGATCACCATTGGCACTGTCTCACTGCTAAAACCTGTTCCTTTCAGACTAAACAATTCTGCAACAATGATCAGCTCGCGAGTAATCCTGCAAAGAGGCTTGCCCAGATGCTTTGCCAATAGGCAAGTTGGCAGCCAAATTGGCGAACTCCCACCGCGGGAAGACGGCATCATCAGGAATGACGGTGACATACGAAGCAATTATACAGACGAAGCCAACAGGAGCAAGGACATGACACAGACAATAAAGGAAAAGATGCAAGATGTTGGAAAAAAAGTCAAAGAAGTCAAAGATAAAGCATGGGGAAAGGTACGCCAACTTTGTTAGTTCATTTTGAGCAGAACACTAATTAAGTTCATTGTTAAGGCCGAAGACCTGAAAGAAGATGTGAAGGACAAAGTCGAAGAAAAACTCGAAGTAGGAGATCCCGTCGCGAGGAACATACAAGAGCAGCAACGAGAGAAGAGGCGAAAGAACAACTAGACAAGTTCAAGCTCATCGATTGCAATCAAAATGAGATCTGATTAATGTATTTAATGTAGATAATGTTCACTATGCTTTCTGTGAAAGCGTCATAAATAAACATAGGAACGGCGAAAGGGGAATTCACTCAAACATCTTCAGTTTCGGAGATCAGATACAACTTCGTTCTGATAGCCGAAAGACTACTAGTACGAGAAAGATGACGAAGTTTTCGATTTTGATTCTAGGGATCCAGGGGCCACAGTCGGCTTCCACTCAAAGTCGTATGAAGTGTCTCTGCAGAAAACGATACAGCTACGCCCATCTGCAAAGCCAGCCTCTCCTAAAGTCCTTACAGGCAGAAGACGTGATAACTTGGTACTCGATGGTAGCAGTAGTGCCACGCGCAGGAAAATGGCGAAAAAGCGAAGTGAAACGGTCGAAAACCTGCAAAAAATTCTTTGTTCTACACGACCCGGCAGCGATTTCGAACGAATTTCCCGTTACGCCAGTATGGTGCCAATAACCGTTACGGTAGATACGGC